TTACTAAAAACTTGAAAGTGCTAAAACCCAAAAGAGCAAAATGTCGAAAATAATTATTTTTTTAAAAGAAAAAAAATCTTTAATCAATGTAATCATTGCGAAAAGAAGTAATTTATTCTTTAATTGCGACGCATTAGATGGTTACATAAAATTTTAGCCACCCCGATCAATGATATAATTGGTTTCGTCCAATGGAAAATGATATTTGTATTCGTCCAATGGGAAATGGTGGGGAAATTAGTAAACCCATTAGTATGAACCAAGTAGCAGTTCTACTTCTCAGGAAAAAAAGGTAAAAAATGAGGTTAAAAAGTGATATATAAACTATTATTAAGACTTTAAACATAATTTAGCAAAAGATAAACGAATGAAAACAACCAAAATCAAAAATACATGAAAGAAATTATTGCAGTAGTGTATGTACATTGGATTTATTTTATTGAGATTTCTTTGGAGATAATATTTTTTTATCGTTGAATCAATCATCGCAAATTCAGACAGATAATACAGCACCTACAATTATGATGTCCAGAGGTGACGTAGTATCACTTCCGTCATTATCATCATTACTTATTCCTCCACTCGGTTCTCTAAATTCTATACCAAACAATACAATAATATCACAAGATTTACCAACGTCGATAAATCAATATCAATTATCAACTTCAACCACTATTGATCATAAATATTACACTATTTATGTTATAAATCACTTTCTTTTTATTTCGTCATTCATGCTTGTTATTTTGCATGATGCATACATCATCCATAGATGTTTTAAAAAAAACATAAATAGTATAATTTATGATCAATAACCGCCGAACTATAATACCAATATAGTATGATAATTTTGAGATCCAGTATCTCAAATTATCATACTACAGTGGGGTACCATATTATTATGGACACTTTTCAAAGTTTTATATTGAGCTAAATAAATAAGATATAAAGTTAAAAATTATACAAAATATTAGTTAAATCTAAAGTTTTCAAATAAAAAAAAAATTATAAAATTCTATGCAGTACTTTTTGAAATAATTAAGTTTAAAAATTTTTTGAATTTT